GCCGCCGTCGCCGCCGCCACCGCCGCAGCCGCCGCCGCCGCCGCCGCTGCCCGGACGGGAGAGGGGCGGGGCCGGGCCCCCGCCCAGCGGACAACGACGAGCCAACAGGAGGGGCCGCAGTGCGCATGCGGGAGCGCGCCTACCCCTCCCCCACAACCCCCCATTAATCCCCAAGAGAACAAACACCCCACGCGGCCCCCCCGCCCTCCGCGGAAGGATCTGAACCTCTTCCCAGGCCATTGGTGGCCAATCCCAGCTTTCCCCGGGGAGGGGCCCTTTCCAAAGCCACAATCTGTTGGGGAAGCCTGGAATGTCAGGTCCGGGAGGGGCCAGCCCCCAAAGATGAAAGTCGCGACTTGTCCTGCCCCGCCCCAAAGGCTTCTCGAGTAGTGTGCTGGGACTTGACCCGCCTCCCCAGGTCAACATGTCACAACACGACCTCGGCCTGTCAAGTCACATGACCTCTGCCTGTCACTGACAACTTGGTCATGTCTTTGAGCCAGGAGAGAGCATCTCGTCCAACCCACCCCCATCCCCATTTACAGAAGAGGAAATGGAGGTCTGGAACAACCGAACAGGCCTGACCAAGGACCTGTCACTGTCACACCACCATCTGTACCTTCCAGCCAGCCACATCGGCTTTCTGACAGTTTCTACTTAGACAAACTCTGGCTGTCCCCATGAGGGTATGGCATGATGTGTAACAGGCCACCACATGGCCTCTGTTTTCTACATAATGGCACAAGAAAAATACTTAGCATTTTGCATGGTATTTTTCACTTTTGCCCAAGCTGCTTTCAAGTTCATAGTTCTCATTTTACCTTCTCAACTCATTTTTTATTTACAAACAAGAACGGTGAGGCACAGAGAGATTAGGTGGCTAGTCTAGGATCCCTGAGCTAGTGAGGGGCAGCTGAAGCTAGAATCTGGGCTCCTGACAACCTAGTCCAAGGCAGTCGTGCGCTCAAGTGCATGCAATGTCCCAGGCAACAAGGCTCTACTGTAGTCCAAACACCTAGGAGGCAGGAGGCCTGTGGCCAGCTCCTCACAGCAGGGACTCAACAGAACTCGCTGTCTGGTATAGTAAAAAGGGCGTGTCTTGGTCTTCGGTGAAGGGCACAAGAGCACCATGAGAGAGTGGGGAAACAGAATCTGGTCCACCAGGCAAAGAACATGAATTCTGGCATGCTGAGGGCTCATTCGAAACTTCGCCAGGGTAAAACTTAAGGGTGCTCTTCTGTAAGGAGCTGAAATGACTACCAAGGGGATTCAAGCACCTCGGCCCCTTTTTGGGGAGGGCTAAAAGATCAGACCCCTTTAAGAAGACTCTAGAAGATGTAGACAATCCTGGCGTTTGGAAGCAAACTTTCAGAGGAGGGAGGTTTAAAAGGCCTTCTGCCCATTAGCTGGGAGGGGTAAAGGAAAATGGAAGTCCCTTATGGAGGAGGTAAAACCAGGGCTAATACCAGGTGGGCACACCAAGAACTCTTGAGGAAGCTACAGTGAGGTTTCACTCGGCAGTGCAGGGGCGGCCACGGTTGGGCTGATAGCCGTTGGGGCCGTTGGGTGAGGGGAACTGGAGCCCCGCCCTCTCTTCTCACCCCTACACACCCCCCCGCACCTCCCACCACCCTCTTAGTCCCCTGCGCGTGCGCGCGCAGACACCGGTTGCCAAACATTGCATCATCCCCGCCCCCATCTCCTCCCCTCCCCCTTCCAGCTCTCCCCCTCCGCGCGCGCGCATGACTCACTCACCTCCTCCGCGAAGCCTCGTGACCCAAAGCCACTTCCGGGTCCAACAAGACTTCGACCCCCAAGAGGGCGGGAGCAAAAGGGGCGGTGCCGCGAGGGCTCCTGAGTGGCGGATGTAAGGGATGAGGAGGGGCTAACACCGGCGTGCCGCTTTCTGATTGGCAGGCTGCTGAATCCGCCCCCTAGAGGAGGGCAAGGCCATGGTAAAAAAGATCACTGCTCCTTGATAGCCAGGTCAAAGGCTTGAGTCTGAGGCACAAGGCATATCATGTTGAAGATGAGCGGGTGGCAGCGAGAGAGCCAAAATCAAAACCGGAACCTGAGGCGAGAGGTGAGTACTGATCCCCCATCTACCTTTTACCCTTGCATTCTCGCGAACACCAGTTGTCCCCTCAAACTTGGGGCATCCGCTCTTTAGGATGTGGCCCCACCTCCTCCGTAATGAAGTTAGTGACGGTCCGAGGAAGGGATGGGGAGAATCCTTTATTCGCGAGAAGTGCTTACAGATCCCTCCTCCTTCAGACGACAGCGTCACCATACTCCTGTTCAGAGCACGGGCTGTGTTCTGTGTTCTTGGGGGAAGGGGCCTGGCTGCCCTTGGGAGATTTATTCTGTTCTCTGTGGTTTTTGATCCCAGGCCTCCGCGTTACGCCTGTTCGGTGGGAGGCGAGGTAGCAGGACACACCCCCACGCTGAGAAGCCTGGTCGACTGTAGCTTAGGCCGCTGCCTCCGCTTTACCACCAGCGGCCCCACCCCCAATCCTGTATCAGAGGCAGCGTCTCTGGGCTGGCATGGCCACGTCGGTAGCTGGGGCTCCTGAACCTCCACAGGACAGCCATTCTGCACCTTAGTGTAGAGGACAGTACCTTCAGGAGACTTACACAGCCTTTGGGAGGAGGGGTGCCGATCGATGATCAGGGAGCAGAGATGGGTTTTTTCCTTTCCCCCGGAGGACCCTGAGCCTCCTGCACAAGAGAGCATCCCGGATCTCTTAAGTGTGGAAAGTCATTTGGGGTCTCTCCAGTGTATTGTCCTTCCCCTGGGATTGGTCCCTGCCTCTTTCCCGTCCTGTCTCCAACTAATCTCTGTGTAACCATTGCATCAGGCCAGCCCCCTGTTTGGCTCTACAGCCCTCTGGCCTGCGGCTCCACTGCTGATGAAAGGCACATCCCAGGCACTGGAAGGCAAGGAGGGTCCCCCAGGGAGGACAGCCCTGAAGAGAAACAGTCAGGGTGATATTGCATCTCCAGTCCCCAGGGATAGGCAGCTGCTGCTCTACCTCTGGGCTTCATCCTCCCTTCCCTGTAAGAGACACCGGGGAGAATTTCTCCATTCATTCCTAACAGATACTTAACAAGCACCTACTATGTGCAGTTTGGGGCCCAGGATACATCCATGAACAGGGGGGGGGGAGAATCCGCTCTCATAGATCTTACAGTTCAATGGGAAGAGGCATACAGTAAACAAATAGATGAGTGTCATAGAGAAAATTAAAGTATGGAAAAGTAGAGAATGCTCAGGGCGGGGATTACAGTTTTACATTGAGTGGTCAGGGATTCCCTCACTGAGATGATAAAGAACTGGAAGAGGTGAGGCAGTAAGCCATTCAGGTATGTGGAAGGAAGAGCTTTCCAGGATAAGGAATAGAAAGAGCAGAGGTCCTAAGGTGGGAGCATGCATCATATCTTTAGGGAACAGAAGGCCAGTTGGCTGAGCTAGAGTGAGCAAGAGGGAGAGTGGTCAATGAGAAATCCAGGACAGGGAAGGAGCAGACTGTTAGGGCCTTCCTAGCCATTTTAAAGACTAGCCTTTACTATGTGTGAAATTGGGAGTCACTGGGGGTGATTTGAACAGAGAATGACATGACCTGACTTAAATTTTAAAAGGCCCACTCTGGCTGCTGTGTTGTAAATAGACTCGGGGAGAGGGTGGCAAGAGCAGAAACTAGGAGACTTGCAGTCAAGAAGCTTCTGCAGTCATCCAAGACATAGTAACGATCTAGATTGTTAACAATGGAATTGGTGAGAAGTATTTAGAGTTTGGGTTTCTGAAAAATGAGTTCAGTAATTTTGCTGGCGATTTGTATTGGATTTTGGGGGGTGTCAGAGGAGAGGAAACAATGATGATACCAAGGTTTTTTATTTAAACAACTAGAATTGCCATTTACCAAGACTGAAGAAGACCTTATAAGGGGAAGATTAGCAGGACATATTAAGTCTGAGATGTTTATTAGACATCTGAAAGGAGATGGCAAGTAAACAGATAACAGTTGGAGGTCCAGACTAGGAATATACATTTGGAGGATGTCAGTGTGGGCATAGAATTAGGAAAATGCCACTTCATTTGTTCCCTTCCCTGTAGTCCAGTCCTTACCCTGGACTGCCTTGAATTTAGAGAAAGCTGAGTTGGCCAGGACTTTCTTATTATGTAATCAGGACTACAAATGTCAGTAACTAAAAATAAAGGAAACTGGGCTCTCCTCTGTCCTTGGGAATGGCTACAGGGACTGTTAACTATCCATGCTCTACAAGACAGGAAGGACGGACCAACAGGAGGCAGGAGATAAAAGTAAAAAAACCTGCCTCTCTCCCTTACAAAAAAGGCTAACATTTATCTTTGATCCCCACAGTGTTCCAGAAGGAAGTGTATCTTCATACATCACCACACCTGAAAGCAGGTAAACTCTTTACCAAAACCAACTCCTAAGAGATGCTGTTTAAGCTCCCTTTATTGGGACTCTAAGAAGTTATGAAAACGCCTAAAGAAGATGGGAGCGGAGGGTTTGAATCTGAGCAGGCTTTTGCTGTCAGGCCATGTCCATCCACCTGGCCTGCCACTAAAAAGGTGACCAAATCACTATTCTTAGAGCATGTCTTAATTGAAAGCTGGCTCTGAGTAAGCAATCAGCCCCAACAAAGATAATTGGTTTGTCTTACCACACATACCTCAATCCACATCAAGGTTAGACTGACCCACAGGAATTCTCATACAGAAGGTGCACAAATGGTCTGGTAATTGCCCCTGGAAACTACCAGTGGAGTTCCCCAGGGTGGCTAACTTCTACAAGGATGCCATAAGAATGTATATCCAGGCACTTGCTTCTTCAAGTGCTGGGCAAAAGCAAGGAGGGAATATTAGTATAAACCAGGGGTTGGTAAATTTTAAAGGGCCATATAGTAAATATTTTAGATGTTGAGGTCAAAGTTTCTATCATAACTATTAATCTCCACAGTTGTAGCATAAAAGCAGCCATAAAAAATATATAAATTCATGGATATGGCTGTGTTCCAATAAAACTTGACAGTAATACCTTGGTTTGCGAGCATAATTTATTCCAGAAACAAACTACTCTTATTGCAAGACATTGTTTACCAAGTTAAAATGTATTAGAAATGTTTGCTCGTCTCATGAACATTCGCAAACCAAGTTACTCGCAATCCAGGGTTTTACTGTATATGCAAAAACAGGCAACAAGCCAGTTTGCCAACCTGTGGTATAGACAAACTGCTCTGTGGTGCTTGTTCCACCCCCACCACCCACTATCCTGAGTATGTCCTTTTCCAGAGCCTGATCCAGCTGCAGGGATGGCAGCTGAGTCTTTGCCTTTCTCCTTCGGGACACTGTCCAGCTGGGAGCTGGAAGCTTGGTATGAGGACCTACAGGAAGTGCTGTCCTCAGATGAAAACGGGGGTACCTATGTTTCACCCCCTGGAAATGAGGAGGTGAGTCTGCAATGCCTAGAGCTAGGTGGGGATGTTGATCTTCCCTCTTCAACTAACAGTGCCTACCTTTCCTCATTCCCTTGAAGGAAGAATCAAAAACCTTCACCACTCTTGACCCCGCCTCTCTGGCTTGGCTGACTGAGGGGCCAGGACCAGCAGAGGTCACAAGCACCTCCCAGAGCCCTCTGTCTCCAGATTCCAGTCAGAGCTCCCTGGCTCAGGAGGAAGAGGAAGACCAAGGAACACCCAGAAAACGGAAACGGAGTGGCCAGTCCCCAGCCCGGGCTGGAAAGCAACGCATGAAGGAGAAAGAACAAGAGAATGAAAAGAAAGTGGCACAACTAGCTGAAGAGAATGAGCGGCTCAAGCAGGAAATTGAGCGTCTAACCAGGGAAGTGGAGGCAACTCGCCGAGCTCTAATTGATCGAATGGTCAATCTGCACCAAGCATGAACACTGGGACCATCACTTCCCCCTCGGGCCACTACCAACCTTTCCCAGAAGTGGCTACTGACCAACTTCTCACTGGTGCCAATGATGTGACCCTCAACGCCGTATCTATAGTAGCGGGAAAGCTTGGGATAGACAACAGGAAAAGAGTCTCAGCGTGTATATAGAGATTGTACATTTATTTATTACTGTCCATATCCATTAAAGTGACTCTGTGAGCCAAGTTCTCACTTTCACTTTTTCTTCTTGCCTTTAGGGGTTTCAAGGGGTTTCCCCTCAGCTAGCGCCAACTGTTTCTTCAGATCCAAGAGTTTAGCCACCTCTGCAGCAACCTGGTTCTTGTCTGCTTTTTGTGCTTTCAGTTCTCGGACAATGTTGCCCTAAGAGGGAGGGGGTAGGGGAATAACAACAGTGAGATCAGAAAGGACCTATGTAGGATTTAGTTTTTCAGGCTCCCACATAGGACTTAAGCTTTGTACCTGTTTTGTCACTTCATCCATCAGCACTTGTATCTGCTGTGATCCAGCTGCTGTCACAGTCTCTACAACTGCTGGCTTGGGGGATGCTTTTGCCTGGAGAACAACAACAGAGTTATCACCTGTTTCCATAAATATCCCCTGATCTCAAGTTTTATATAACATCTCGGGGAAAGTGATTACCTTCAACTCCAAGGACTCTTCTAGCTAAGACAGGAAAGAAAAACTAAGTGAGGAAGCAGCAGGACCAAAAGATGGAAAGAGTAATGAGTGAGGACTACTTAGGAACACTAAGGATATGACATTGGCTGTTGCTTCGTGACAGCACAGTCTAGCTTTCTTACCTGGCCACCACCAAAGCGCTGCCTCAAACTTTCAATCTGGTCGTTTTCCAATTTTTGGAACAAGGGACTGACCTGTGAAAAAAGAATTCCAGAATCATTCACTCATGAGGTATAAGCTCTACCAGACTATACAGAGGGCCTCTCCAACCCCAATCACTGACATTGAGGCACTCCAAATGCTTTAGGAGAAACGCTGAGTGTAACGCACTGAGCAAATACCTGCTAATTTCAGCACAGAATCTAGAAAAAGCCCTGGCAGTCACTATGAAAGCCCAAAGTATTAATAGGGTCCAAGACAACAATTTCATGATGCTAGGTTGATCAAGTTTAGAGGTTTGTGAACTTTATCATCTTGTGTCAAAGAGGAAATAGCTACCCTGTATTCTCACAGCTCACTGCCTGTTAGCATTATGGAGACCAGGGGACCATGGTGTTTCTTCAAACATCTGTATACCACTTACAGTTTTATGTGCCAGGTACTAGGTTATGGCATGAAGAACAGTGAGGAAATATGGGCTACAGATAATAATGGACTCATGAGCTAGTAACAAGGACTTTGTATCAGAAATAAGCCTACGTGCAGAGTGCGGAGGAGTGGGTAAGGGTTTTGGAGAACAGCTGTGAGAGTCCCAGACCCAAAGGTAAGTTCTTGGACCCTCCCCAAAGGCTGCACAGCAAATGCAGGCATTTTAAGAGACTGGTTCTTCTGACCCTCAAAGACCTACTGTGCCAATCTGGTGTCCTGCTGGTAAGGTGCATAGGAAGTCCGTGGGCAGGATACTGCAGGCTGGAGGTGGGAGCTGCAGCTGGGCCGCAATGGTAGCGCTAACTGTGGGCATGTAAGGCTGGAGCATGATGGACAGCAAGGCAGCTATATTCACTGCCAAGCCTGTCACTGTCCCTGCTCGCTGCCTGGAGAAGAAGAGATATTAGTGAGGACCTCCAGAAGTACACAGCCTACCAGTCACTTTATTCCTGTAGCCAACCCTACCTCCTTACCTACCTGTCAGCCTCACTGCCTTTAATCCGCTTCCAGGGTTCATTCACCTGAATGTATTGGTTGCCATGGCGAGAGATGGTGAGGATACTACGTAAAGCATCCCGGATCCTGGGAAGGGAGTAGGCAGGCCAAGATGTAAGATCCTGAAGGGACCAGTATGGGGCTCTCAATATGCCTGGAGATCACTGAGATGAGATGGGTGTAGATTACTTACCGAACCTTCTCTAGCAGCTGATGATAGTGCTGGAGTTCCAGGGTGACATGGGCCAGCAGGCGCTGATCATCGGAGGTAAGCATCATCTCGGGCACATAACCCCCAAAAAACTTAGACACAAACATGCCAGCTCTTAATGGGAATAGGGAAGGAGGGGAAAGAAAAAAGGAGTTATTGTCCAGTCTCCTTATAGAAACTTGACCTGATTTTCATAATTCTGCATTCTCAGAATGGACACTTCTGGGCTCCCTCAAGCTGGAAGGCAAACTTAAAGTAATTCCTTATCCTCTCTCCTAAGAATATAACTCTGCACATAACAGACATTTCACATATAAGATATCCCTTGTTTAAAGAAACCTGATAAAGTTAAGCAACTATTGGTTTTAATTTTTTTAAACATCAACACTCAGAATGATCAAGTTGAAATAATACGTCATATGTAAATTGCTATCAAATACTCTAATAGGGACTATCAAATGTGGTTAATGAACAAACCTAAAAGGATAGGTACCCATGGAGGATATTTCTTTAGATCACAGAATAGCTGAGATAGGGACCAATACTGAAATAGTCTAAAGTTAACAAAAATTCCAAAGAGCACACAAAAGTCTCCTACACTAAAACAAACCCTTTCTTCAGCCAAACTTTTTTCAATGCTCTGCAACTGAACTTTTTTGCTAGGAGAGAACACATTTTCAATTTTACAAAGAACATTAATAAGAAAACAATTTGCAAAAATTCATTTTGTGACCAACTTTGCTAAATCATATCTCTACAACTAACTTCCCCCAAGCATATATAGCCTACTATGTTCTAGGAGCAGGTCCCAACTGATAGAAATCCACTTTCCACATTATCCTTCCCTCCCTCCCAGCTTCCTGCCCATTCACTAGACCTCTCCACATTCCCATCTCTCCCACTTCATGAAGCAGAGTTAGCTGTATCCCAGCTCATCTGCTGACTCTGACCCCTCACCAAGTCCCACCTGTTGATGAAGTTTCCCAGGTTGTTAAGCAGCTCAGAATTATTCTTTAGCAACAAGTCTGTCCAGGAGAAGGCACTGTCCTGGCCCTCAGGCCGAATGTACAGCAGATAGAAGCGCCAAATGTCAGCAGGGATCCCTGTATCCTGGGCCATGTCACCAAACACTCCCACACCCCGGCTCTTAGAGAATTTCCCATCCTCATAATTTAAGTACTCTAGACAGAGAAAGAGAATGAATGAGAGCCTTCTGCTTAAATCACGTCCTTTCCTCTCTGACCCATTAATTCTTCTTTCTTCTCCTTCGACCTCAACTATGAGTGTCCAGCAACACTTGTCCTTGAATAGCGAGCCTGCACAGAACTTCCTCTCCATTCTGTCCTTTTTTGCCTTTGCTTCTACCTGTTACAAAGTTTTAGCTTTGGACTTTTGCTTTCTTCAGGTTCTTGTTTCCTTCTTCTGGGTTGAATTCTTATGTTCTAATTATTTCCTATTTCATCTCAACTCCTAACTCAAGACCTAGCACCTTTCCAAGATCATCTTCCAAGTACTGCCTCAGCCCTCATTCCCTAGGAATATCCCCAGTCCAGTTTTCCAGGGTACCTGTAGCAATGAGGTGGCTAACCAAGGTGTAGTTGTCCTCAGCTCCTAGGGCTGAACAAGGAAAGACTAAGCCGTGGAAGGGAACATTATCTTTGGCCATGAACTGATAGAGGTTCACCTACAGTTGGAAGACAGAGTTTCTCAGACCTCTTTCAAAGGCCTAAGAAAGATCAGATACCCAACCATGGCTGCCCCTCCCCACACATGCACGTACCCTCCCCCTGGACAGGCTAACCAAGAACTGCTCACTTGCTCTGGGTTCTTCCACCATCTCTCCCATTGGTCTGTGTAGTTGGCTGTGATGGACAGGTAGCCAAAAGTGGCATCAAACCAGACATAGAATACCTGGAGGGTCATGAGGAGAGACACAGTAGGATGAAGGAACATTTGAAAAGCTCATCAACCCAAAATCTCAGACTCAAACAAGACATACAAGGTGTGATAAAAAAATAAGGCGACTATTTAAAAAAAAACAAAAAAACAATTTAACCGCCAGCCGAGTGGCTCAGTTGGTCAAGAGCTTGCCCAAGAGTGCAAGCCCTGTGCAACAAGGTCACCAGTTCGATTCCCACATGAGCCAGTGAGCTGTGCCCGAGCTGAGCTGCTGCTGAGCTACCAACAGGTGGCAGGATGGCTCAGCTGGTGAGAGCACGTGCTCCTAACAACAAGGTTGCCTGTTTGAGATGGTGGGCTATACCCGCCTACAGCTAAGACTAAACTTGGCACCTAGAGCTGAGCTGCCGCCCGGGTGGCAAAGTGGATAGAGCGTGTGCTCTTAAAAAAACAAAATTTAATACAGTAAAAGACACATTGCNTTGGCACCTAGAGCTGAGCTGCCGCCCGGGTGGCAAAGTGGATAGAGCGTGTGCTCTTAAAAAAACAAAATTTAATACAGTAAAAGACACATTGCTATTAATCCCCCCTCAAAATACTCCCCGCCACTTCGAACACACTTATCCTATCATTCTTGCCACTTTCTGAAGCAGTTCTGGAAGTCCTCTTTTGTGAGTGTCTTTAGTTGCACTGTCTTGGCTGCCTTGTCCTGAATCAATTAAAAACGTTTACCTTTCATGGTCATTTTGACTTTGGGAAAGAGCCAGAAGTTGCAAGGTGCTAGATCTAGTAAATAAGGTAGATGAGGACACACTGTAATATTCGTATGTAACAGAAATTGCCGTATTAGAAGCGATGACACGGAGCCTTTCCATTGTGACCACAAAATATGGTGAATGCTACTGCCAACAGCCATCCAACAGAAAGGCAGGGATCGTCAATATCGGAAGCGGCGCATTGAACCTTAGTGACAGTGTTTGACAAGTTTCAACTTGTTTAGTGCAGTCAGTCAAGTATGAGTTACGATTGAGAGGTGTGTTTTAAAGTGTGCCTTAAATCATCCTCCATCATGAGAGTGCTCCATGTCATACATCGTTTCTGGTATAGAAATTTCTGTCAAATAAAAACATTATGGTGTGTCCTCATACACCTTTTTCACCGGATCTAGCATCATGCAACTTCTGGCTCTTCCCCAAAGTCAAAATGACCATAAAAGGTAAACGTTTTGAGTCAATTCAGGACATTGAGGTAGCCACAACGGTGCAACTAAAG